TATGTTCCTCCACAGAGCAGAGATAACAGATACACTTCTGATCAGTACGGCAGAACATCTTCATCACCTCATCATGACGAGGGCAGATGTTCTCCTGAAGGTTCTTGGAGGGCTCCACCAGCTTGTGTTTCTGAAATGGAGCTGACTCATAATGAGGCTGAAGGTGTTTCTCACAGTAAGAGACCAAACACATCAAACAGGACTTGATGGCTTTCAGTTTTCTTCCAGAGCAGACATCACAGGCCACATGTTCAGGTCCAGCATAGCAGTGATCAGCAGGAGCAGCTTGGAGTCCAGTCTTCTTCAGCTGCTCTACCAGGACAGATAACATGATGTTTTTCTTCAGGACAGGTCTTGGTATGAAGGTCAGCCTGCACTGAGGGCAGCTGTGGATCCCTTTCTGATCCTCTTCATCCCAGTGGGTTTTAATACAGCTCATACAGTAGCTGTGTCCACAGGTAAGAGCCACTGGATCCTTCAGTAGATCCAAACAGACAGAACAGGTGATAGTTTCTGCGTCCAGCTGATCTCCTTTCTGCTCCATTCTGAGTTTCAATGTCAGCGACTGTGTGAGTTCTTCCTGAGAAGTGAAACTGAACTCTGATCTACAAATCACGTGTCTGTGCAGAGAGAATGAAACCAATCAGCTCCAACATCCAGCTCCTGCTGGTGACACCACCTGAAGAGGAGGGAACAAGGAGATATGAGGACAGACTGGATGGACCTGCTGTGTTTGAGAGCAGGAAGAAGAGGCAGAGCTTTGAGAGAAAAACTTTTTAACCCTTTGTTTGACAGTTTTATACTTTAAACCTGAGACAGCTGCAGCAGTTTACTCACAACTAGATTACCTGTGGAAATCTTTACCATGTTCTAAAATTATTCTACTCTAATCTCCGGTGTCAAAAACACATCTGATTCCACCATGTTATTATTTATTAAACAACAAAAAAGAGTAATTTTAGATTCAACTTAAGAAGCAGCCTTAGTGACACAGTTATTTAGGTATTTCTTCCACAGCTGCGGAACCTTCAGTGTTTAATCTAACAAAACAAACTCAGGTCCTCTGGACAGATCTGTGTTGAAACATTTTGTCTTTCATCCAAAAGATTTTGTCAGTCTGAGGAGCTGCAATAAACTCAGTCTTATGAATAGCCCCTTAATGGATCAACCAGTTTGCTGCTGATAGCCAAAACTAGCTATTCACATGTAAATGCAGAACCATCAGCAAAAAGGTGCAATGACGGGCACATGAACCAGCATTTGTTACCAAGTGTGTGGCAGCAGGGTATACTGAAGCAAGACTTTTAATTAAAGAAGAAGACACATGCATAAAGTATATCACTAAAGTTTACCTTTCAACACGGAAAGAAATGAACTTTGCACATTTTCCTGCTGGCTTCAAAGGGAAAGTACTTTATCTAATGAAATAACTAAACAAACAAATAAACATACATGTAAATAAACATTGAAATAAATACCATTAATGAAAAAAAAAGACATTTCAGGTTAAAGGTATTTTGTATGACCAAGTTGACACACTTCCGGTAAGATGGCGCCCATGTACATGGCTTGCAATCCACCTCTGCTGATGGTGTTCGGGTTATTTTTGTTTTTTGCATTTCTCATCTGTGACATCAACTCTCTGCTGGTGTATGACAGACAACAACTTTTGGATCTTCGTTTTTCTGTCACTGAAGTCGCTTATTTGGACCATTATCAGCGTACCTTTGGACACCCCCCTGCTGGCGGACGTGCCAGCTTACCTTCGCTGCGCTCCTCACCTCCTTGCCCGGAGATGTCGCTTCAGACGACGGGGAAAACGTGCTGGTCAGCTGGTGAAGCTGAAACCTCTGCACGCTGCATCTTCCTCTCCTGTGTGCCCGGACCAGGTAACCAACGGGAGTTGTCAGCCGGTGCGCAGCTCGGACTGACCTGGAGGGGCTGTTATTGAAAACCTGCGGCCATTAGCACGTGCTAACTCCACCGCTGTTAGCTCCACTTCGGACAGTATCCGGATGTGTTTGGTCAACGCAAGATCTGTTACCAACAAAACTTTTATCCTCAGGGATTACTTTCAAGAGCACGATCTGGACTTTCTGTGCATTACAGAGACTTGGATGTCTCCGGGTGAGTCCAGCGCCTTGACGGAATTACTGCCACCGAACGGCGCGGTGGTGGATTATTAACAATATGCAAATCAACTTTTGACTGTAAACAACTGCCCATCCCAGTTCCCCGCGCCAGCTTTGAGCTGAGCGTCTTTAAACTCTGACATTCACCTCAGACTTTATTTGCACTCGTCTACCGCCCACCTCGATCTAAGGATTTCATAAATGAGTTTTCTGACTTCTTGGCTGAAATCACACCAAAATATGAGCATGTTTTCATTATTGGGGACTTTAATTTACACGTGTGCTGTCCTGAGAAGCCCTTGGTTAAGGACTTATTAGATCTGTTGGACTCATTTAATTTAACTCAGCATGTAAACAGTCCCACCCAAGAGCGTGGACATACACTGGACCTTGTTTTAACTCATGATGTGACTGTTAATAATCTTGTTATTGGTGATAATGTTTTTTCAGACCACGTGCCAGTCCGGTTTGAGTTCACCCTCCCCCATCTAACTCCTAAGTCGTGCATTCCTGCACGTCGCACCCAGACCATTAACCACTTCACTGCCGCACGTTTCACCGATGTTTATAACTCTGAAATGATCATTCAGCCCCCAGTGGTTCTCACCACCACCGAGGAACTGACATCCCAGTTCAACTCTGTCTGCTTAAAGACTATGGATCATGTTGCACCTGTTAAAACCAAAAAATCAAAAATCAGAGCTGAACCTTGGCTGAGTGACGTCACCAAGGCCGTTAGGCAGCAATGTAGGAGGGCGGAACGAAAGTGGAGGAAAGACAGGCTGCAGGTCTCTTTCCAAATACTTAAAGAGAGTTGGCGCCGTTATCAGAAAGCAGTAAAAGCTGCTAAATCCAAATACTTCTCTGATATAATTACCTCAAACTCTCTCAACCCACGTGTCCTCTTCTCCACCCTAAACTCTGGTCTCCACCTCACTGAACCATCACCTCTGGAAGCCTCGACTGAGCTGTGCGACAACTTCTTACATTTCTTTTTGGAAAAAATTGCGACCACCAGGGCTCTCATTTCCCCTCCAACTCATGACCCATCCATCCCACCTCAATCTGTAGCTCCTTTTGACCATTTTGAACCCATCACTCTATCTGCTCTAGAGCAGGTCATGTGCAGCTTGAAACCTTCTGGCTCCCCCTTTGATGTGGTCCCCCCTCGACTACTAAAGGAGGTGTTTCCAACTCTAGGTCCGTCCATTCTTGATATAGTAAACAGTAGTTTATCCACTGGCGTGGTGCCAAAATCCTTTAAACATGCTGCCGTCCAGCCTCTCCTGAAAAAACAAACCTTGACCCCTCAGTCGTTTCCAACTACCGTCCAGTCTCCAAACTCCCATTTGTTTCTAAAGTACTAGAGAAAATAGTTGAGTCCCAGTTGAAGTGCTTCCTGGAGGATCACACCATCTTGGAGCTTTTCCAATCTGGCTTTAAACTTCTCCACAGCACTGAAACCGCCCTGCTGAAGGTCTTTAACGACATCTTCAGATTCACAGAAACCGGTGATACTGTGCTGCTTGTCCTGTTGGACCTCACAGCCGCCTTTGACACCATCGACCATGAGATCCTCATTGCTAGGTTGGAGCAGTGGGTGGGCGTCACAGGATCAGCCCTCAATTGGTTCAGATCTTACCTCGCTGACAGATCCTTTTGTGTCTCCATCAAGGATTTTAGTTCCGCAGAGGCAGAGCTTAAATGGGGGGTTCCGCAGGGGTCCATCCTGGGTCCCCTCCTATTCACTTTATACCTGCTGCCGCTTGGTGCTATTTTCCGGAAACACAACATGCTCTTCCACTTCTATGCCGATGACTGTCAAATTTACTTCCCCCTAAGACACAATGGTACATGCTCTATTCAACCGCTGCTCAACTGCCTGGCTGACATCAGGGACTGGATGGCTTTAAATTTCTTGAGTTTCAATGAAAAGAAGTCTGAAGTCATGTTGTTCCCTCCCAATGACACGATCACAAACCACTGTATCGACCTCTCCGCTCTAACCCTGTCAGAAAAACAAAGAGTCACTATGAGCGTGATAATGGATCCTTCCCTGAAGCTTAACAATCATGTAAACATGATTGTTAAATCATACTTCTTCCAACTGAGGCGGCTGTATAAACTGAAGCCCATATTGTCCAAAAATAACCTGGAGACAGTAATACATGCATTCATTACATCTAGGCTTGATTACTGCAATTCGCTCCTGTTTGGTATCAGTCAGACCTCCATTGCACGACTACAACTGGTCCAGAATGCAGCAGCCCGATTTTTAACCAGTACAGGCAAAAGATAGCACATTACACCACTGCACTTTTGGCCTCACTGCACTGGTTACCGGTTCACTTTCTAATCCAGTTCAAAATACTCATGTATATCTACAAATCACTGAACAGTTTCGCCCCCCGCTATCTCTCTGATCTGCTACAACCGTATGTCCCACCACGCTCCCTGAGGTCAGCGGACCAGTTGCTCCTCACAGTACCAGGAACTCGTCTTAAGCGCAGAGGTGACAGGGCCTTCTCTGTAGCAGGACCAAGACTCTGGAACGAGTTACCTTTGTTTGTCAGGCAGGCCCCCTCCCTCTCGGTTTTCAAGTCCCGTTTAAAAACTCACTACTATTCAGTAGCTTTCAACATCAGATGATCTGTGTTTTGATCCTGTATGCTCCACACTGGTTTGTCGTCATTATCTGCATCATTTTTATGTCTATATTCTGATTTACTTCATTTTGTATTTTGCTTGGTGTGTTGCCTGTTGTTTTGTCTGTACAGCACTTTGGTTGGCCTTGTAGCTGTTTTAAGTGCCTTATAAATAAAGTGATATGGTATGGTAAGTTGTCAATATGGCTACCAAAGGCAAACTTCTCATCATAGTTATTAGAATTTTCTCCTTCTAGCCATACTCTTTATCGAGTTACAATAGAGTGGTTTGTTGTTTTGAGCCACTAATTAAGTGATTTCATTTTAGTTGAGCTCAAGAATAATTTAACCTTCAAATGACATTTCTGGAGCAACTAAAACGTTTCCTGCAAACGTTAACAGATGGATTCAGAGAAAGTGCTTTTGTATAAATAACCATCATCTGCATATATAAATGAACTTTGTCTTGATTTAGTACTAAACCTAACTCATCTATATAGAGAATAAAGGAGATAAGGGTTAGAGTGGCTCCTTCAGGCTTAGTTTGTAAGGCAACAGCAACAATAAGAACACAAAGACCAACCAAGAGGGATGTTTCTATTCAATAAATAAATGGTAAATTAATGAAGTTGCATTAAATGTGTCGTGAATTTAGTTTGTTGAAACAACATGAACAACATTTTACTTTGTGCCGACGTGTTCTGGTGAAGCACGGTAGCCCCATTCAGTCAAGTGAAATTAATAAAGGCCAGGCAGCATGCAGCGAG